ATCAAAAATATTTACTTTTTTCTTATCCTACAAATAAATTCAATTCCTACAACGAATTTTATTATTTATGGAAGGATTTAAATATTTATAAAAATAATTAAATTCTTGCCAAGAATTTTATAACAATTTTTAAATAATCGATTTTTTTAGACTAATTTTATGCAAATTATAATTTAAATAATTGAATTCTAAAAAATTTTTATTATTCATGAAAAGAATTTAAATTCTTACGAAGATTAAATTTTACAAAGAATTATATTAAAATTTTTAACAATAATTGAATGTCTGTGTGGTATTTTATTAAAATAATTTTTTGAAAATAATTGAATTCCTGAAAAGCATTTTATGATTTATGAGAATAATTGAATTCTTGAGAACGATTTTATTAGAATTTTTTAATATAATTGAATTTGCGGGAATAATTTTGCTATTTATCGACATAATTGAATTCTTTTGAAGAATTATTTATGTAAATAATAATTGAATTATTGGAAAGAATTGTTTTAAAATCTAAAAGAATAATTGGATTATTTCAAAAAAATGTAATTAAAATTGTATATTTAAAATAATTGATTTCTTTCGATCAACTGTGTTAAAATATTTGAAAATAATTGAATTCTTGTGAAAAATTATAATATTTTTGTAAATAATTAAATTCTTCCGAAGAATTTAAAAAAAAAACATTTTTTTTAATAATTGATTTTTTCCAGGAATTGAAATTGAATTTTTAATAATGTAATTACATTTTTTGATCAATTCCTGTAAAATTGTATTAAATTGAAATCCTGCGATGAGTTTTATTATTTATGAATATAATTAAATTCTTGCTCAGAATTTTGTCAACAATTTTTTTAAAAAATTGAATTTCCATGAAAAATGTTATTATCAGTCTGACTAAAACTTTCTGTGACTACTAACGCCAAATTGTCAATTTGTACGATTTTGTCCGACTAAAATCGACCTTCACTACTGTTGCTAGAATTTTAAGTCTGTCCTTTACTATGCTGTGTGATCGAAAAATTTCAAAAGTCTGAATGCAACTTAATTTTGCTACTAAAATAAAACTAAAATTCAGAAAATTTGAAACTGAAAATACTTTTTTTAATTAATAGAAAAAATTAAGAACATGCGCTGTCTGGCTGTAACTGCATTTTCTACTTGCTGTCTTAAAAAAAGAAATTGAAATATCTTGTCTTACTAAAACCGCTTTTTTCTACTAATATAAAAAATGTACAACTTTCCTAATATGTAGTGAAATAACTATAAGTAGTAAAATTAACTGCAGAACCAGAATTTTTAAATTATTTCTTTTGTAATTATGTTTTACTTATAATATAAATATATATACATATATATTATATTAACTTACAAAATCAACTCGACAGAAAACATAATGTTATGTTTAACTCACCTGAAACAAAAAGAAAAGGAAACACTTTATATATGGAAACAATTCTCAAAAAAATGAAAACAAATAATAATTTATATTTTTAAAATAATAATGATAATAATAATAGTAATAATATATATTTGATTAAAATATATTTATATAAATCTTACATTAAGAATTAAATTTAAAAAAATAAGTAAAATTTACATCTAATTCACCTTTTGAATTAGTAAAATTTATTAATAAGTTAATAGAAATTGCTATTTATTAGTAAACAAAATTTTCTAATTTAAAAGCAAAAAGTTAGTCAATAATTTAAATTAGTAAACAATTTTTAATAATTCAAATGTAGATAGTATAAGTAGTAAAAAATGTACAATTAGGGAAGAAGACTTGTCTGACATAAATTGCGACTTACTACTTATACTACTTATAGAAGAATATTTTTTTAATAATTTAGGTGTAAAATTTTAATTCTCCTGTCTGACCAAAACAATTTTTTCTACTTATTACGATAGACTGGAGAATTTGAAAACTCTCTTTACACCTCACTTTCACTGAAAAAATGATGCCTACTAAATTCTGAAAAATGAAATATTTCGTCTAACTGTAAGTGACTTTTACTATACTAATACACACCGAGAGTGGAAGAATATAAAAACAGTGTAATTATATTCATATTACAGTTGTGTCTGGGCAAAACTGTTTTTTTACTACTTGCAGTAAAATTCTAAGAATTCAAAATACTTTGTCTGACTAAAACTATCACTTCCTACTATTTAAATTAAAAATCTATTACTTTGTCTACCAAAATTATGCTTACTGATACAAAATTTATTTAATAATTAATGCACATTTTTCTCAGTAAAAAAAAAAATTTTTGTCTGACAAAAAATGTCCATTGTTACTAATGACAAAAGTACTTAACAAAAATTTTTTCAAAAAATTCCTATTGGTCCAATGAAAAGAAGCATTAATCTCTCTTTAATTTGCGACCAAGAAATAAACATTTGGTCTAAAATTGTTCGAGTTATGAATTTTTTTTGAACTTTTTTTCCAAATTTTCGTTTTTCTGATACGGGCGGGTGGGGACGCTGGCTATCAAAAATTGTTTTAGAAAATTCCTATTGGTCCAATGAAAAGAAGCATTATTCCCTCTTTAATTTGCGACCAAGAAATAAACATTTGGTCTAAAATTGTTCGAGTTATGAATTTTTTTGTACTTTTTTCAAAATTTTCGTTTTTCTGATACGGGCGGGTGGGGACGCTGGCTATCAAAAATTGTTTTAAAAAATTCCTATTGGTCCAATGAAAAGAAGCATTAATCCCTCTTTAATTTGCGACCAAGAAATAAACATTTGGTCTAAAATTGTTCGAATTATGAATTTTTTTTAATCTTTTTTTCCAATTTTTGTTTTTTTGAGTAAAGGGTGATTATTGCTCTTTAAAATTTCTTGGTCACAAATTAAAGGAGGATTATTGCTCTTTAATAAAATGTGACTATTGCAATTTTTTTCTATAAACTGTATTAGCTAGCGTACGTTGATTTTGCGTTGATTGAACCGTTTTGGCTACTGATAGAAAAATTATCAAACAATTTCAAACATATTTATCAATGAAACCTCGATTTGTCTGACAAAAACGGAATTTTTCTACTGATCGAAAAATTACCAAACAATTTCAATCAAATTAACAAGTGAAACCCCGATTTGTCTGACAAAAACGGATTTTTTCTACTGATAGAATAATTATCAAACAATTTCAAACATATATTATCAGTGAAACGACCATTTGTTTAACGAAAATTCTTCTATACTACTGATAAAAAAATTTAAAAATAATTTGAACCATATTTTTCAGCGAAAACATGATGTCTGACAAAAACTGTCTTTTTCTACTGATAAATAAACTATAAAATAATTTCGATTTATGTATTAGAAGAGAACTGATTTGTCTGACGATAATATTTTCCTTTACTACTGACAAATAAATAATTAAACAATTCGACGATTTCAATAATATTTGTCAGTAAAAACCGATTTGTCTGACTAATATGTCTTTTTCTACTGATAAAAAACTCAAATAATTTCAGCCGATTTCTTAGTAAAAACACCAATTTGTCTGACGAAAACTCTCTTTTGCTACTGATAAAAAACTGTCAAATAATTTCAGCCGATTTATTAGTAAAAACACAATTTGTCTGACGAAAACTGACCTTTACTACTGACAAATAAATAATTAAAGAATTTCAATCATATTTGTCAGTAAAAAATGCTAGTCTGACAAAAATTTCCTACTACTACTGATGACAAAATTATCAAATAATTTAAATCCCATTTTTCATACTAATGAACCGTTTTGTCTGACAAAAAATGTCTTTCTCTACTAAAAAATATTTTTATAAATAATTTTAAGCGTTATTTATAGTGAATATAGTAAAAGTCAGTTGACAAAAAAAAATAATATTAATAATAAATATAAATATATAATATAATTAATTTAATAATAAAAGTAGGTTAATAACAAAGTTTTCTAATTTCAATTTTATTCGTATTTTCAAAATTTCTACTATTAATTTATGCGGAGAAGTACTTGGATAATACATCTAATTACTATTTTCATGGTACAAGAATTCACTTAATTATATCATTGTGCTTTTCTCTTTAAACTAATTAGATATAATAGATGAGTCTGCCTTATTTATATGAAATTACTCGATTCTGTGTTTATCAAGGCTATATTAACAGAAAATCATTTGATTTCAGTGATATTCCTAATGCACTCTATACGTACAAATAAACGAAATTTATGTGCTTCTCCTTCAAAATCAAATTTCATTATACATTAATATTGCCTCACGTATCAAAATATTAATTACAAACTTTGTTAGAATTTAATATAAACTTTTGAACTATTTATCAAAGTAAATTTTGAAAATATTTATATGACAATGAATTATTATTAATATCAGCAGAAAACGTCAAATGCGTATATATTATTTATCATTTCAATTATTATTAAATTTATTAATAATTAAGTTATTTCACTCTGTAAATTTGAAATAATATAAAAATGTTTACAAATGTGAATTAGACTAACTTTTTTGCTTTTGAATTCAAATTAGTAAACATTTTTACTAACACAGTTTTTCTAGGGATATCAAATTGAGACAAAAAATGTATTAAAATTGTTGCGAAGCAACGTTTTGATACGTTTTTTGTCTCAATTTGTTATTCCTAGAAAAATGGTGAATTAAAATTTAGAAAGTAAATAATAATATATAATTAAAATAACAATTATTAATTATTAAGTGAAGTACATATTAATAAATTATTATTTAATTAATAATGCGTTATTTTTTCAATTAAATACTGTTAATTAATTAATAATTAATATAATTCATTTCCAGCTATTTCCATTCACTATAATTCAAATAATTCAATGACAATCTTTAATTATATCGAAAAAGTAATTAATTACAGAGGAATTTCGAATGTTGCGTGCAAAATTCTGCTTGTAATGTCGAAGAAGTGTGTGGGCGTTGAAATTTAAAAAAGACCGCCAACACTTTTATCGATATACATGAACGATTCACGAGACACGCGGCGTGTATAGTATAGTGTAGCAATGGATGTGACCTTCAGTCATAGAAATGAAAATAATTTCACGAAACGTGTGACTTGAATAATTCAATGACAACTATTGTAATAAGGCAGTGAGAGTCTCTTTCTCGCAGCATATTTTCTTTCAAGAAAATTCTGAATTAACTGAACCGGTAACATATTTATTTTTTATGCGTGTGTATCCCAAGTGATCGAAGTGAAAACCCGATGGATGAGGGGAAAATGAAGTGAGGGGGGAAGTGGCGCGACGAGACGTATTCACCGATATGAGAAGCTCTCTTCACTCATATGACTTTGGCGCATGGCGCTTAATTTTATTCATCATTTTATTATTTATTATTAAATATTTAATTTTTTCAAAATTTATTTATTTAGTAAATTAAATATTAAGGAAATAGCGAACGAAAAAAATTCCTAAAATGTGAATCTTTATTTAAATTCGATTCGAACTTTAATTGTGCATGGGGAAAAAAATTCAATATCAGCGCATGCGTTGCGAATTTGATTCAAATCAAGGCGCGATTATTTTGGTTTAATTTCTTTTCAATTCATTTAATTTCTTTTTTTTCTATTATTTTAAAGGAAATATAAAAATTTCTTTCAATTTTAGATTTTTTTTAAATAAAGCAATTTTTCAAAGGAAGAGACAAAAAATATTTTTTCACAAAAAAGTAAATAATTTTAGAGCACGCTTCACACTCATTTAGTTTGAAAACTACAATTTTTTACTACTATTTACTACTTATTTACTATAAGCTACTATTTGAATACTTTTTTAAGTATTTATGACATAAGCAATTTTTTTCTACTTTTTAAAGAATTTGTACTACTTTTTAATTATTATTTTTAAAATAAACAATTAAACCCGATAATTGAATATTAATTATTTAAATTAAATTAAAATAAACCAAAAAATTACAAAGAATTTTATCAAAATATTCGAAAATAATTCAATTCTTTTGAAGAATTTTATCAAAATTTTATTCTTTCCAGAAATTTTCTGAAAATTGTATTGAAAATAATTTAATTCTAAGGAAGCATTTTATTATTTTCAAAAATAATTTAATTCTTCGAAAAAATTTTTTTCAAAATTTTAGAAAATAATTGAATTTTTTAGAAAAATTTTATTAAAAATTTTCAAAATCAATTGAAATATTATTAATATTTATTGAAAATAATTCAATTCTTGCGAAGAACTTTATTAAAATTTTTGAAAATAATTAAAATGCTTCGAAAACTTTCTTGGAATTTGAAAAAAATAATGAATTCTCTTTAATAATTTTAATTGAAAATTCTGGGAATAATTGAATTTGACAAAGAATTTTTTTCAACTTTTTAAAATAATAATGTCTGATAGTAATGATAATTAAAAATTTGATTTTTGTATTGTATTGCATTTTTTTGGAATAATTGAATTCTTCTTAGAATTTTATTACAATTCTCAGACTATAACTGAATTCATTTGAGATAGGTATTTTATAAAAAAATTTACTGTAAATAATTGAATTCATGAGAAGAAAAAACTTTTGAGAATAATCAATTTTTTTGACAAATTGTATTACAATTCTTAAAAATAATTGAGTTCCTTCGAGAAATTTTATTAAAATTCTATTAAAAATAATTGAATTCTTAAAAAAAAATTTATTTATAAAAATATTTTAATTCTTGCGAAGAATTTAATTATTTACAATAATAATATAATTTAATTGTTTTCAAGAATTTTATTAACATTTTAGAAAGTAATTGAATTCTTTCAAAAATTTTTATTAAAAATTTTTCAAAATAATTGAATTTTAGTGAAATTCCATTAAAATTGACTTTAAAAGAATTAAATTCCTGTGAATAATTCTACTTGTTCATAAAAGTAATTGAATTTTTACGAAAAATTGTTATATTTTATGAAAATAATTAAATTCTTGCGAAGAATTTTTTTTCGTTTTTGAAAATAATAAAAATAATAATTAATTACGAATTCATTTGTTTCTTTTTTTCAAGATTTAGTTTCAATGCAATATATTAATTATTAATTACATTATTAATGAATTATTTACTTAAAAAAATGATTTTTTTTTATTTACAATATGCATTGCAACAAGTTTGTTACGTTTTCTGTCTCAATTTGATATTCTTAGAAAAACTGTCTATGAAAATACAATAAAAGGGAAAAAAATTTCGTGCATTTAAATGTTCAAAACTTTATACGGAAATAAGTTTTTAAAAAATATCTGAGCACAAAAGATATTTCGTTTAATTGAATGTTCAAAACTTTATAAGGAAATAAATATTTATATATGGCAGAAATATTTTGCTCATTTGAAAGTTTGAAAAATTTTTGAATATAAAAAAATTGACAAGAATGTAAAAACTTTATAGAAAAGTTAAAAATTGTCAAGAAAATAAAAACTTGATAGGAAAGTTAAAAATTGTCAAGAAAGTAAAAAACTTGATGGGAAAATGAAAAATTGTCAAGAAACTAAAAAAAAATTGATTATTAGAAAAAAATCTTAATTTTCTTAAAGTATAAAAGCCATGTAGTGATTTAGCGCACACTAAAAATGGCGAGACATTCTCAAATAATATATTTTCATACCTAGGAATTTTTTCTCATATTCCACAGGCAATGTCATCAACTCTCCTTTGACCTTATGGCACATATGAATTCCTCGCAGTAATCCCCAAACAAGGATATCACCTCAGAATAGTAAAATTATTCCTAAGCATATATCACTTTCTCAAATAATGATTCCTCTACATTCTATAATCCAGGAAATAAAGCCGCAACTTCAACAATATCTGAATTTCTTACACAAAAAAACCTTGACATTTCATACATAGTATAAAGTAATATTTAGAAAGTATTAAGAATAGTCGTATTCCAATCGCTACCGTAACTATATCCACACAATCACCTGTTGACCACGCCTGCAATTTATTCTCCATCCTATATTTTCCCCTAAATGAAACATTTATTTTCCTTTTTTTTCCTTATATCTATACAGTATTGCAAAATTCCCTCAAGATAATTCATTATATTTAAAAGTTTTATTGTACATAATATTGTATAACTAAACTTTAATACCACGCGCATTCGTGATCATTATTTTCTCTCTTTGAAATTATAAAAAAGCGCCGTAATGACAATATAGTTACTGTTGACATTTAAGATGATTATATAAAATAGTAGACCACCCTCGCATTAATGTACCAAGCAAATACTGTACATAGATAATAATTTATTATTCATATTATATGAAGCAAGAAGAAGAAGAGGAAGAAAAAATTGTTCAAGCCTGGGAGGAGTAATCCACGAATGATTGCCGCTCTACTACGGCCAATTGAAAAATCGCTCGGCTGCCGCACTAATGGGTTATGTGCGAGACATTTTACCCGGAGGCCAAAACCGTTATCTTCGGAGGTCAGTCATTTCTTCAGTCTAAGAATTCGGAAATAACACGCATGCCTTCTCAACAAACGTCAATTACCTCCCTTCAAATACCCACCACATACATACAAACATATAACAAAACTAGAAAAACAAAACCAACAAATCAAATCTGCCAAAAAAAAGATCGTGAGAAAGCGGAAAGGTGAAAAATGCACTATTTACTTTTCATCATTCTTCTCCTTCCTTCTCACAATTATAACCACTTTCATTGATATATTAAGCTCAAATTTGTACCCAGTTCATTTTTATTCAAAATTTTATGTTCGTTTAAAAAAAAAAAATTTATGCAACTCAGGCTTTATTTATCTTTACAGACGAAAAAGTTCCCCCTTACAGCTTAGTGGTTAATAAAGTGCTTCATTCTGTCCTAGGGCAATAATAGCTTCCTTAAATACCGCTCGCAGGACAATAAAGTCCATATTATTACCCTAGGGCAAAAATAAACACTTTATTCACCTTCGAGCTGTCAAAGTTCCCCCTTATACCACAGCGGTCAATAAAGTACCCATTATTAACCTAGGTCAATAATGTGTACTTTACATACCGCTCGCAGGTCAATATAGTACATAAATATTATTACCCTAGGACAAATTAAGGCACTTTATTCACCTACAAACGGTAAATACTAAGTTCCCCTTCAGAGTTGCCACAAAAATTTAACTTCATTCTTTCCTGACATTTCACTGATTTCATTTCATTTTCAGACAGAATTTTCACTTTTTCCCTGACCCTAAAGAATATTTTAATTCGCTCCAAAAATTATTAGATACTGAGAAAAAAGTTCTAATATACATTTATTTAAGAATTTCTTTCATTGTAAAATTATTTGAAAACATCAATAACAATAATTAAAATTTTTCAAAACATTCAAATTCAAATATTTTTTAAATTCAAAAAATGATAAGAATATTATTATAAACATGAAGAAGTATTATTATTAATAGTATTATTATTATTAATTTATAAAAATAATTGTCTTCCTAAAAAGAATATTTTATTTTTTATAAAAATAATTGCATTCTCTCAAATATTATTAAAATAATATTAAATATTATTAAAATCTTTGTAAATAATTTAAATCATTATAATTAATTAATTAATTAATTAGTTAATAAGTAAATTTTTCAATTCTCAATTTAATTCTTGCGTTGTATTGAAAATAATTGAATTTTTATGAAAACTTTTAATATTTGAAAATAATTTAATTCTTATGAAAAATTTTAATATTTGAAACTAAATTGAATTTTTTGGAGAAATTTTATTGAAAATTATATTGCAAATATTTAAATCCCTAAGTTGAATTTTATTATTTATAAAAATAATTGAATTCTTGCAAACAATATCATTAGGATTTCGAAAATTTATCAAATTTATTGTTATGCAGAGAATTTTATTAAAATTTTTATAAATAATGTGAATTATAAAAATTAAATAGTTAATTAGTTAATAATTGAATTTTTTTAAATTTTGAATCTGGAATTATTTAATTCTTCCATTGTAGTGAAAATAATTGAATTCTAATAAAGAATAATATTAAATTTTTGAATATAATTGAATTCTTTTTAAGAATTTAATTAAAAATTTTTAAAAATAAATATAATTGATGTGGTTTGAGAAATTAAAATTGTATTCAAAATAATTGAATTCCAGAAAAGAATTTTATTATTTATGAAAATAATTGAATTATTACTGTGTTAGTAATTAAAATTTTTTTAAATAATAAAAATAATATTAATTTATTTGTTAATTAGTTAATAAATGGTTTTTTTTAATGTTGAATCTAAAATCATTTAATTCTTGCGTTGTGTTGAAAATTATTAAATTCTTAGGAAAATTTTATTGAAATATTTAAAACGAATTCTAATAAAAAAAAATATTTTTTGAGAAATTAAAATTATATTGAAAATAATTGAATTCCAGAAAAGAATTTTATTATTTATGAAAATAATTGAATTATTACTGTTTTATTAATTAAAAATTTTTAAAATAATAAAAATAATATTAATTTATTTGTTAATTAGTTAATAAATGTTTTTTTTTTAATGTTGAATCTAAATTTATGTAATTCTTGCGTTGTATTGAAAATTATTGAATTCATAGGAAAATTTTATTGAAATATTTAAAAAGATTTGAATTCCAGAGAAGAATACTATTAAAATTTTTAAAAATAAATATAATTGAATTCCTGAGAACAATTTTATTATTTATGAAAATAATTGAACTCTTTCAAGAAACTTTATTCAAAACTTTAAAAATAATTGAATTTGTTACAAAGAATTTTCTTAAAATTTTTAGAAATAATAAAAACTAATAATTATTTATTCAGTTAATAAGTGAATAAAAAAAAATTTAAATACAAAAAAAAATTTTTAATTTTCTAATACGAATAATAAAAATTTACATTTTCGAACAGGAAATATAAAAATTTTAATTTTCTAATTCGAAAAATAAAAATTTACATTTCTGATCACAAAAAAAGAAAAATTTAAATACCCAAACAATAATCCAAAGCCTATAAACGAATAAATAAAAGGACATAATTCAAAATCTTTATTTGTTTTTCGATGAAAAAAACAGGTCTTAACGAGCTACTTGTTGCAAACAAAAGAGCCACCATGGACGTCATATTTCGTGAAATATGCGGATATAACGAACGATCAAAGGGGAATGTCTCATTTCAACTGGCCAGCGGGCAAGAGCAACTATCATATTTTAAGAACGGGCTGTTTTCCCTACATCAAGTATCACTGCACCAAAAGATCCAAACAGGACCTCACACTCGAAGACAAATTTTTCAAGGCGATCAAGATACTTAACCTTGGTATATTCATATATGTACTTCTCTAAGTTAATGGCAAAAGAGACTAACGTAACTAATATCTTCACATTAGTCACGCCTTAGCCCCTAGAAATGCGCAGTTTTGCTCCTCTCTCTCTCTTTCATTCTACTCTCATTATGGTTTCACATGAAACAAATACAAAAACTGACCCACTTGATCCACGAACGCACGCATGTGCGCAAAATAAATCATGTCTATATGAATTGCATTGTTTTAATTATTCATCAACATTTTATACTTATTATGCATACGTAAAGCTTTTTTCTTTTTGTCATCCATATTTGCTCTGTTGAATTTCAATCAGTGACATTCTACTGCTAATGGAATAGTTGAAAAACTACTGAACTAGTTCAGTAAGATTCTTATCGTAATTTTCTTATTCTTAAGTTTTGTATACGAAACTTAAGAATAAAAAAATTACTAGAAATTCTAAATAAAGTTTTATTACTTTATTGAGAATTACTAGAAATTTTTCTAAGATTTAGTATACACTGTAAAAAATTTTGGAAGTTGACGGTCACTGGAGTTGGGAGTGAAATTTTTAGAGTTAAAATTTAAAAATCAACTCCAAAAGGGAGTTACTTATTAAATTAACTCCCTTTTGGAGTTTATTCTTATTTTTACTGTGTAAATTTTAACTCCCTTCATCCAAATCCCTTCGCTTTAACTCCCAAATTAGTGCGAATTTTATAGAATCCCCTGGGGAGTTAAAATTTAACTCCCTTTTTTACAGTGTAACAATTTTCACTTTACTTTACTTTCAACAATAAAAAAATTTACTTTGTACGTGGTAAAACTGTTTACTAACTAAAATCTTCTGCAATTATTTTTACTTTACCTTACTTTCAATAATTTTTACAATAAAAAAATTTAATTTTGACTTTGCTAAAGTTATATTATACGAATTCACAGGAAAAAAGAAGTGTTATTATAACACTAAAAGTAGTGTTAAACCTACACGCAACGTTTTTAACCGACAGTGGGTGATTTTAACACTTCATTGGTGTAAAAATAACACTGGAATGTGTTAAATTAACACTACAGGGTGTTAAATTGATATACATTTTAAATGGGGTTAAAATAACACCAAAATTGTGTTAAAACAACATCACCTGAAAACTACACGCAACAAATTTAACACATATTTTTTTCTGTGTTTTTACGGATAAAATTTACTTTGGATAAAGTAAACTATTCATGGAATTTTAAAACAAAAGTAGCCTTTTAAAAAAATGTACTGTTAAAAATTGTTATTTCTAGACTAACTTTTACAATTTCCAAAGTGATTTTTTTTATAAAAAGTAGAAAAATTTACTTCAAAAATAGTAAACTTAACTATGGAACTAATAAGTTTTAATAATAAACTGTATTTCATTGGAAGAAAATTAAAAAATTTCTATACATAAATTAACTATAGAAATACATAGTAAAATTTGCTATTCAAAATCGTTGTTACCAGAGTAAATTGTAAAATATCCGAAGTCAATTTTAGTAAAAATTAATTAAATTTGCTTCGGACTTGGTAAAATTTTTTACTACAAAACTTTACTTTTTTTATTACAATAATTTCTACTTTAGTTTCAACAATTTTTACAAATAGAAAAAGTTACTTTGGCCTTGGCAGTGTTACTAAAATTTACTTCGGTCTTTTTGATACTAAACTTTTATTTCAATAATTTCTACTTCACTTTCAAGAATTTTTACAATAAAAAATTTACTTTAGTCTTGGTACTGCCTTTTACTTTTTAAATTTACTTTTAAAAATTTTTATTTCTCGACTAATTTGTTCCACTTTTTGAAGAAAAATTCTTCAGAAAAATTATAGAAAAATTTACTTCAGAAATAGTCAAGTTTATTCCGGAAATAATAATTTTTAATAACAAATTGTTCTCCGTTCGATGAAATGTAAAAAAATTGTATACAAAAATAATAATTAACTGTGAAAAAGTAAAATTTTCTTCTAAAAATCGTTGTTTTCAGAGTAAATTTTAAAACACCCGAAGTAAATTTTAGTGTAAATTAGTAAAATTTATTTCGGACTTTGGTAAAATTCCCTATAAAAATAGTAATATTTTATATTAAAAATTTTCATTTCTAGACTAACTTTTACTATTTAGGAAGAAAATGTTCTTATAAAAATTAGAAAAATTAATTTTTATTGAAATTAGAAAAAAGTAGTAAAATTTACTCTAAAAATAATCATTTTTAATAACAAATTTTACTACGCTAGAAGAAAATTTAATAAATTTTAATACAAAAATTAACTATGGGAAAAGTAAATTTTTCTATTAGATATCGTCATTTCCAGAGTAAATTTTATAATATTTTAATAAATTTAAGTAAAAATTAGTAAAACGTATTACGAACTTGGTAAACTTTTCTCTAAAAATTGTCAAATTTACCACGAAAATTTGTTATTTCCAAAATAACTTTTACTATTTCTCAAGAAAATTTCGTTATGGAAATGAGAAAAATTTATTTATTTAATTAGTAAAATTTACTTATTTAATTAGTAAAATTTACTTATTAAATTAATAAAATTTATTTTGGAGTTAATAATATATTAAATCAATAAACATTTTTTTAACTAATTACCTATCATTGTTTTCAATAATTTTTATTTTATTTTAAATTCAACAATTTTTATACAATAAAAAAAATTTATCTAGATCTGGGTAAAATTTTACTAATTCTTATTGAAATTTACTTACATATACAGTAAAATTCTTGAAATTAAAATAAATAAAATTTTCTTTAACTATTAAAAATCGTGTTCTCTAGAGTAAATTTTATGATATTCGAAGTAAATTTTAATAAAAATTAGGAAAATCGACTTCGGACTAAAATAAAATAATTAAAAAAAAAAAAAATAAACTAAAAATTTACTATTCAAAATTCAAAATAACTTTTATTATTTCCGAACAGAATTTCTTTATAAAAATTAGAAAAATTTTCCTGATTTTCTATTAAAAATTCGTTGTTTCTAGTGTAAATTTTAAAATATCCGAAGTAAAGTATAGTAAAAGTTAGTACAATTTGCTTCGGACATGATGAACATTCCTCCGAAAATAGTAAAATTTATACTATTAAAATTGTTATTTCCAGAATAACTTCTACTACTTCCAAACAATTTGGGCTTAATTTTTAAGTATAATACAATAAAATTTTAATAAATAAATTTTTAAATAATAATAAAATTTATAATAAAATAGTAAAATCACTAATAATAAAAATTATTTTACATTTGTTACTTTGTATAAAAAAAACTCTGAGAAAACAATATAAAAAGATTTTTGAGTCTCAAAGAACTAAAATTTTCCCAAAGTTCGCAAAAAGTAGAAACTTTTGTTCTTCAACATAATCAAAAAATTTTCCACCTTACAAAAGAAATGTCAATTTCTGTAAGTTTTTCTTTAAAAAAAAGTGGGAGGGGGGAAGAGAACAAAGAAGGAGAAAAAAAGAAATAATTCAATAAAATTTCAATAAAAAATTGAAACAATAACGAGAAATTTGTTGCAGGTATTCCAACACTCCTGTACGGATTAGCCGCGACCCAACTGATTCGTCACAAGGAGTTGGTGAGAACAAACAAAGGAGAAGTGACAATCTACTTCTTGCTACCCGAAGATAAAGGTTCTCAATATTAAAATTTAAAAAAAAAAGCGAAACAAAAATAAAATTATACTCGCGAAATGATCGACAAAACACATACATAATGTAGAATAAATATAAAATGTCAATAATTTAAATGAGTCATTTTAAATCAAGCCTCTCCCGACTTCCTCTTCGAAGGACATCGACTTCTAAAGGGAGAGTTGTAATACACGCATGTAATCTGATGTGGGTTTCAATAATTTTTTCTCAATTCTATTTTTACTTTTCCATTTTGAATATTCAAGACCTGAATCAGTTGCCATGGAATTCGCGATAAGAAGGCAGAGAGGGAGACAAGGTGCCAAGTTCTATTTCTTATCAAACTGAGGTATATTCTAATTAGTAATTCATGTTTTTCCGCAAGGGAGTTGCGTCTTTTTTTCAATGCGACTTTTTTTTATATTTTTTTTTCTTTTTTTTTTTCTTTTTTCAACCAGAGATGCATCGTCAAACACGGAAATTCGTCATTCCACGCATATATCGACGTTTAGACATCTTCAACTCTTTCGTTTGAGTAATTAACATGCTAGGAATAAATAAGTGGAAAATCAAGAAACAAGTTTGGTGAGTCGCTTCGTTAAGAGACAACCTTTTACGCGACATCATCATTTTTCTTCTTTTCTTCTTTCAAAAACTTATATATATTAAACATTTTTTTAATGACCTTTCGCTCATGCTCGTTTAAATCATGAAAAACAAATTGCAGTCATTTTCAATTTTTTTCTTTTTTCATTCATTAAAATTTTACATTTACCGCGAGAGTAGTTCTGCTTCCTGTTTTTTATTTTATTTTTTTTTCTATTTTACTTTTTTAAATGTGATCATTTGGACGTGTGGTCCAAGGCACCGAATTAGATGCCGTTTAGGGTTCTAATCCTAACAGATACAATTTTTTTATTCGTTTAGATGAGAAGTAAATTTGATCTCTGTTATTTTATTTTTTATTTCTATCTTATTGCAATTGAAAAGAATAAAAATAAAGAAGAAAATAAATAAATAAATACAAAATAATTAAATATTTCATTAAACAAATAAAAATGTAAGGAAAAAATAAAAATAAAGAAGAAAATAAATAAATAAATACAAAATAATTAAATATTTCATTAAACAAATAAAAATGTAAGGAAAAAATAAAAATTTTTCCCTAAATTTTTATTTTTTTAATGAAACATTTAAATCTATGCCTTTATTATATTTTAAAAAATCAGCAAAGGATAAATTTTGTAATTCATGAAAAATAAAATTCCAAAGAGTAGAAGAAGAAGAAGCAGAAGTGAGGAAACTTATTTCACCGAGGAAAGTACTGAGGTGAAAGTAGACTTTGATTAATACTTTTATCACGAAGAGCAACCACGGAAGTTATACCTTTCACGAGAGACTATATCTGTTTTTGCAACTTTGCCTCATTTGTCCTCATTGACAAGAAATTGTTATTCGTCATTTTATTTTCATTCCCTTAAACGGGGTCTTAGTGAAAAAACCAGTTATGGAAATTCAACAGCAAATATTTTGTCTATCCAACTGAATAAAAAATCAATGAAAAATAAATAATAGAAAACAAATAATATAGACAACAAAAATAATGGAAAATAAAAATGAATCGATTAATAAATAATAATTACCTAAGTAGTAAAAAATAAATAATTCAAAACAAATGATGCAAAGAAAATAAATAATACAAAAATAAATACATAAAAAATTTACCTATATAATTCTTTAAATAAATATTTAATAATTATAATTTATTTCTTAACAGCATTTGAAATTTTCAAAAAAATTTAGTTTAGAATTTTTGAAATATATTTATTTCTGAAAATTGCAATTGCTTTTAACTCGAATTTATTTGAGGGTAATTATAATTAATTATGATTTCAAAGTATTTGAGATGAAAAAAGTTGAGAAACAATTCAAGTATTTTAAGTAATTTCAAGTTTTTTTTTTGACACCAAAAACCAGAATTTTTGTAGTTATTTATAGAAATATATAATATTTTTCCAGTATTTTTGATGAAATTTTAATACAAAAAAAAAAAAAAAATGGAAATTGAACAGAAAATATTTCGTCCACTCGATTGAATAAAAAATAAATAACAGAAAATATAAAAAATGAATAATAATAAAAAATAGTAAAAACTAAATAAACAAACAAACTGATAAAATTACATAGAAAACATTGAACAGAAAAATCCATTTTCACAAGATTTATATATTCAAATGTATATCGTGACTCGATGACACACTTGAAGAAGAATCTTTTGAATTCCTTTTGCATTTTCATGTGATTTCGAAAAGAAAAAAAATAACCAAAAAAAAAAAAAAACAGGGAGATAAACTTTCAACTCTAATTGGCTGAAAGTTCTCATTGAGCATAACGAATTAACAAGGCACACTATGTTTAATCTAATCACTGGGTTGTTTCTCGTTTCATTTTATTTTTAATTAAATCTACCTTGTTTGGAAAAATGCTTTTAGGCTTCTTGACTTGTATTTCTTTCCTAATGAACTGGCGAAAAAAAGAAGGAAACATTTTCCCGAAGGGCAATGATGAAGTAATCTCTCGATTCAAGCGCAATGATCAATAAAAAAAAACAAATATTTAATACAACTTATGACAAACAACAAATGACCCTCTTGTGCAGAAAGCGTTTCATTATATTGCAATTTTAAAGCAACAAAATTAAATTGCAATAACAAAACAAAAAACAAAAATAAATTGCAAATCAGGTGCTAGACATGTCATTACACATCATTTGTCTTTTTCCACAACAACTCAATTAATTAATAACTTTCACGCACGCAGTCATTATTTATTTTCAAGTTAAGAAAAAAGTTTTTTTAAAAAATTACACATAATATTTTCTTTGTCAAAAAAAAGTTAATATGCAAATAGTAAACAGTTTCTCACCAGTAGTCAAGAAAATGAGGTCATTTTCTTCATGTCTTTTTATATAATACGTTGGATCATTAGGCATAATGAGAGCAGTAGTATATGTCCAATTACTGGAATTGTATATTAACATTTATTAACGCATGAAATAAATTCCCGAAAATGATGCCAATGAGATTGTATTTGTTTGTGTCCAAAACGTGGAATATTATGGAGCTTATGAATCTGACTATCTGCATTCAAGCATTCACTGTGCATAATTAATACAAATTATGCATCAGGATTGAACACGTGCAAACGCAAATTCCCGTAACTTGATGCAATTTACATTCAAGTGAAAACATTTTTACTTTTATTTTATCTTTCAGAAAATTTCTCTCTCTCTCTCTCTCTCTCTTATTCTCCAAGTTTTAGAAATCATGGGCAATTACAAATTTTTGTTTTCTATTAATCTCAATTTTATTTTAAAAAACGTATAAAATATTTGCACCGACTTAATTTCTCCTCAAAATAAAGAAACGCAACAAGAAAAATAAACGAGGAAAGAAATTTTTTTTTAGAAATTTAAATTTGTTACCACTTAATAAACTATTTAAATTTAGTCGTAAAATCAACCAAATAAATGTATTGCCATTAAACATTTCCCTATTTCAAATAAAAAACTACTTCAAATGATCAAATTCTTTTTTCGAACGCAAAAATCTGTTAATTTTTTATTTAAATTAAATAAATTTTTATTTAAATTAAATAAATATTTGTATAAATCAGATAAATATTTATTTAAAACAAGTAAATATTTATTTCAATCAAATAAATATTTATTTATGTTAAACAATCTTTATTTAGAAATTTATTTGTAAACAGTTAATTATAATTGAAATATTTAAAAAATCCAATTTTTCAAAATTTTAAATACAACTTTTCGACACTTCAAATTTAAAAATTAATTTTAATTACAACAAAAATTTTCAATTACATATTTATAAAATTTCAAATATCCTTAAAAAAATATTGAATTGAAATATTTTAAAAACTTATTTTTTCAGAATTTTGAATAAAACTTTTTAAAAATTCAATTTTCTAAAATAATTTCAATTATTTCGAAACTTTTTAATTACTTGTTTTTTAAAAATTCAATAATCTTTAAAGAAATCGACATTGAAATATTTTAACAAATTTAATTAGTTTCCTTTGAATTTTCAAAAATTTTCATATTAATTTGAAAATTCTTTAATGTAATTTTTTTTTAAATTCAACTAATCTTTAATAATTTATTGAATTAAAATTTCCAAGAAACCTAATTTTTTCAAAATCATTAATAATTTTTTAAATAAATATTTAATTATTTTTCAATCCTTCGCAATTGAAATTTTCGAAAAATTTTAGTTTAAAACTTTCAGAAATTTAATTATTCCAATTATTTAAGAATAAATTGCAACTGTTTCCAATTAAAATCTGTTCTCAGTTAATTATCATCATTAACTGAAAGAAAGTTATTTTGGAATTTGTGTAAAAATTTATTTGAAATAAATTAAATTTAATTTAAAATAAATAAAAAAAAATTATTTACAAAAATTTAAAAAAATCAAAAGTATTTTTATCACAATTAACTCGAAAATATCAAATTGTAAGTGACTAAAACTATAGAAATTAAGATAAATTGATCCAAATTTTTTAAATCACTTTGATCCACTTTGGTATCAATTAAATACTTTCAAAAAATTGTGATTTTATTATAAATATTATTGTCCCTTCTATAAATGAATAAAATTATAATAATATATTATTCAAAATAATATATGTTTGAAAAATAAAGTAATTAAAATAATTTAACCTATTCAAATAAAGTTATTAATTAAAATAAATGTTGATAAATTTATTTTAATTATTTATTCTAATTATTTTATTTTAATTTTTAATAAAAGTTTATATAAAAAAAAAATTTTAAATAAAGTCAATTAATGTTAAATAGCAAAAAACAATTTTTAAACTATTAAACAACTATTGTTAAAAATTATGTATTAGTAAAAAATTTGCCTCTGGCTCTAAATAATTAATCCGCTGAAAATTTTAAATTCGACCGCCTGCTTTTACTGAAATCTCGAACCCAGCGTGTGTTCCTCTGTATTTTATCGACGTCGCACTTTTGGTGTCGAGACATTCAAAGAATAAGGTTAAGAATGTCTTTCAAATAAAATTTAATTGTTTTTAACTGATTATTAGAGAGAAACTGTGATAATTATTTACAAAATTTATTTAATGTACTGTGTTTTTAATTCAGTGTTTAAAAGAAATTTTTTTTCTCTCTTAAAAATAACAACAAGTCAGTGTATTCATTTCGTGCCGCACAGTGAAAGGAATTATTAACTTCAAGCTGTACTTGATCCTAAAGCAATCATTTAATCTGATGAAATTGTTGCTCAGAATAATAATTCCGTAAGTAATCATTTTTATTCTCATGCACGAGAAAAATTTATCTCATTCAAATTTGTTTTGTTCGGCCATTTTGTTATAGACAATAATCACTCACGTAAAATGGTGGATTGTTTTTTATTTTTCTTTTATTCTTTCTTTTATCTCATTCAAAATTATTTTGTTCAAACATTTTGTTATAGACAATAATCACTTATTTAAAATGGTGAATGGATTTTTGTTTTTCTTTTATCTCATTCAAAATTATTGTTTTTGTTCGGCCATTTTTTTATAGCAGGGTTGCCACGCTTTTGTTCATTTCAAATTCCCTGATTTTTCCAGGTTTTCAAAACTATATATATTTTACAAAACTAAATAATTAGTCAATATAATATTTTTCCATAAGAATTAAGATTTCCAAAAATTTTAAATTCAAATCTTTCTGAAATTAAATAACTTATAAAAAATTGTTATAAAACATGAAGAAATCGATCACTCCGAGTCTTCGACTCGGAGCAATCAATATCTTCATGTTTTATAATAATTAAAATTGACTGACTGATAAAATCATTATTTTATACTAGTAGAATATTGTTACTGTAACTTATTACTTATTCAAAATTAATTTCATCACTTCAATTCAATTATTGTTTTCCAGAATTATTAACTAAAATTCTTCTTTAAATTAATTATTTTATGAAATTTCGATTATTTGGAAATTCTTCAATTAAAAATATATTAGAAAATAAAAACTTCAAATAACTTAAAAAAATTCAATTAAACTTTAAGAAAAAAAATTAAATCTACACAATTTTCAGTTAAAGGAAGAAAAATTCAAACATTCAAAAATTATAATTTGAAACCTTTTCAAAATTCAATTATAGGATTTCTAAAAATTCAAGCTATAATACTTTCTCTCTAAATTTAGATTTAGTAGAAATGTTTACTAATTGGAATTAGTGACTGACTTTTTGCTTTTCAATTAGTGAATTTTACTAATAAATTAGTAGAAACGACTATTTATTAGTAAAATCTGTTAATTCAAAAGCAAAAAGTTAGTCACTAATTCAAATTAGAAACAATTTATACTAATTGAAATTTAGAGAGTTCAATATTCAATAATTGACGAATTTTAATAACATTTTTAAAAATAATTGAATCTCAGTAAAAAATTTGATTGAATTGAAAAAAGTTTCTGAAAATAATTGACATTTTTCCAAGAAATTTAATAAAATTTTTGAAAATAATTGAATTTTGGAGAAAAATTTTATTATTTATAAAGATAAATGAAATTTTGAAGAGAACTTTTTAAAACTTTTGACCATAATTGAATTTCTGCGAAGAATTTTATTATACTTTTAAAAATAATTGAATTCATATTGAGACGAATTTAAATTTTTTTTTTAAATATTGGAATTTACTTGTGAAATTTTATTAAAATTTTTAGAATAACTACATTTTTCTAGAAATTCGATTAAAATCGTATTAAAAATAATTGGAATTCTGCGATGAGAGTTTTATTATTTATGAAAATAATTAAAAACCTATAAAGTTTTTTTTATTATTTATGAAAATAATTAGATTAAAATTGCATTAAAAATAATTGAAATTCTGAAATAAGTTTTATTATTTATGAAAATAATTGAATTCCTAAAAGAATTTTATTATTTACGAAAAGAATTGAATCCCTGTAAAAATATTATTATTTATGAAAATAATTGACTTATTGCGAAGAAATTTATAAAAAATTTGTAAATAATTGAATTTCTGTAAAAAGTTTTATTATTTATAAAAATAATAGAATGTTTTCGTAGAATTTTATTAAAAAAATTTTTTTTGAATAATGGGATTCTTTTGGAAAATTTTATTAAAATACTAAATATTGAAAATCATTGAATTTAAGAAAACTTTTGCAAATAATTGAAATTTTGCCAAGAATTTTATTAAAATTTTTGTAAATAATTGAATTTTGGAGAAAAATTTTATTATTTATAAAGATAATTGAAGTTTTGAAGAGAATTTTTTAAAACTTTTGACCATAATTGAATTTCTGCGAAGAATTTTATTACTTTTGAAAATAATTGAATTCTTGAGACGAATTTTTAAATATCTAATTGAATTCTTTTAGGAAATTTGATTGAAATAGTAGATATTGAAAATAATTGAATTTTTATAAAGTATTGAAATTAATTAAATTTCTACGAAGAATTTTATTAAAATTATTTTGAAAAAAAATTGATTTGTTAAAAAGAATTTCATTAAAATTTCTAAAAATAATTTAATTTTTTGAAGAAATTTAAATAAAAATGTATTGACAATACTTAAATTCGAATAAATAAATTATAGGAAGTCTTTTTAAATTGAATTTCTTTGATGAATTTTAATAAAATTTTTAAGAATAATTATTAATTACATTTTTGAGAAATTCCATTACAAAATTTCAAATTACAACCTTTTGAAGTTTTTCTATTTATGAAAATTGTAAACGCAACTCTTTTAAAATTCAATTATGTAATTTTATTGAAATACATTTAAGAAAAACTGGATTTCAAGAATAAGCACAATAATTTTAGAAAACAATAATTTTCCAGGATTCCGATCAAAATTCCCTGACTTTTCCAGGTTTTCCAGGTTACGTGGCAATCCTGATGTATAGACAATAATCACTCATTTAAAATGGTGAATTGATTTTTGTTTTTCTTTTATTTCATTCAAATTTGTTTTATTCGGGCATTTTGTTATAGACAGTAATCACTCATTTAAAATGGTGAATTGATTTTTGTTTTTCTTTTATTTCATTCAAAATTGTTTTATTCGGGCATTTTGTTATAGACAATAATCACTCATTTAAAATGATGAATTGATTTTTGTTTTTCTTTTATCTCATTAAAAATTGTTTTTTTCTGACATTTTGTTATATAGACAATAATCACGTAAAATGTTGGATTGATTTTTGTTTTTTCTTTTTTTCAGTTGATGTCATTTAGTAATAAAAAGAGGAAGTTAATTGTATCATTGGGGAAATCTTTTGATTGTGCAAATTGGATAAATTGACAAAACTTGTTGGAGAAATTGACGAAACTTTGAGGAGAGCTAGAGAAAAATGTCTCGCAAATTTAAGAAAACTCCAATTTACGTCGTTGAAGATCATCACGATGCATTGCCGTGTATTTATCGTTGCTTGGGATCGAAGCATCTGCCATTTGAGGGCAACACAATAATACATTTGGATTCCCATCCTGATATGCTTATTCCAAAGGATATGAATGCTGACACCGTGTGGGATAAGCAACAGCTATTTAGTGAAATTAGCATCGAAAACTGGATACTTCCTGCAGCTTATGCTGGACATTTGAAGAACTTGGTGTGGATTAAGCCGCCCTGGGCAAAACAGATGACAGACGGTATGCTCACGTTTCTCATCGGCAAGCATAGAGAGTCAGGTACAATAAGATTAACATGCTCCGAGCCGTATTTTGTCAGCGAGGCACTCTACTGCCATCCGGATGAACTCGAAAACACCCGAGAAGTGACACTACACGTGATAACAATCGGCTCACTCATTGACCCATCAATGAGACGTGACGATTTCCCATCAATTGCATCGGCAATCAGGCAATATTTACCCGAAAGTGATACACCCTATATTCTCGATGTTGATCTCGATTTTTTCAGTACAAAAAATCCGTTCAAAACACTTTACGAAAATGCAAATATCTACGAGAAACTAGCGCCAATCTACGAATTTAAACGACCACATTCGACAGATCCGGATTTATTGCGAGAGGCGACAATTGCGAGAGACGAGCAATTAACCGAATTGAAGAATTTATTTTCCCATTTGGAGGAGAATAGAAATTTAATGGGTTATGAGGGTGAGAGGAGTTTGAGATATGAGAATGTGGAATCGATTTATCGTGAGATGATGAGATTTTATAGAGATTCAGAAATCGAATGGTTGTCGATTCATGATGCTGGATGCACTATTGATGACGGTGAACTTCCACATCATGTGACAAGTCAGCAGGATCTTGATAGACTCATCAGTGGGACTTTTAAATCTTTCTTGTCGGTTTTGCCTGCACCACCTACGATTGTCACTATTGCCAGGTCCAGCTATGATGAATACTGCCCTCCGGAGGATGTGGATCAAATTCAAGTGGGCGTGATTGATGAACTGAAAGATAGACTTGGCGTTGATGTGGAAACGAAATTACTTTACTTGGAGGAGGAAGTTAATTAATATTTACGCTCAGGGCATTAAGGAATAATAATTTTTAATAGCCCCCCCCCCTCCTCCCTTACTCTGTGGAATTGAAACTAATACTGAAATTATTAAAATACTAACTGTATTTTGTTAATATGTTGATGAGGAAAATTATATCAATGTGTTTATTGATATAAATTTTAAATTACAATTTTTATACAATTTATACAATTTTAATAACAATTTTGTAATAAGTATGTTTTGTTCAATAAAAAGACATTTTTCTCGAAAATGAAAGAAATATTTTTATGTTCGATAAAAAAATATATAAAATAGTTTGTCTCCGAGCCTAATTATTTAATTGTTTAAATGTTTAAGTATTTCAAAAATATTTTTGTACCCCAAAAACCATAATTTTGTAGTAACTCTAAAAATTTGACATTTTTCATGATCCTAAAGTCCTGAACACGTTCAAATGAACGAAATTACTTCTTCTTCAAATTTTTCGTAATTGGAGAAAAAATTAATTATTTTTTCTAAAGATGTAAAATTTAAGTCTTTAATTCATATTGCAATCAATAATTCATAAAACAATTTGTGATAAAAAATATTTTGTTCATTTGAAAGTTCAAAAATTGTGAATCATTATTTTTCCAGTACTTTTAATAAAATTTCCTAACATTTTCCTGATTTTCCTGACTTGTGAAAATCTTGCTTTTGATATAATTCAAAAATGTCTTACAGTTGACAAAGAAAGTACACAACTTCCTTTCAGAGAAAGAAATATATACTTATATTTAACTCCAATGAGTTATATTTTGGTTTAAATAAAATTTTTCACGGTGTAGAATACCACTGTAACAATAAATTGTAAATAAAAATGAAAAAAATGTTTGATCTGTAAAAATAAATCCAAATAACAATGCAATTCCCAAGGCACAATTTTCTGTCATGTACCTACATATATTTAAATTAATTATTATTTAATAAATTTTTACTGTACAAGTACATGGCACGTTCACACTAGAATATGTACAAGCTTATAATTAAAACTAATGTTTCAATTAATTCCTTGCTGTCGGTTATGAAACGAATCTTATGTTTCAATTAACACTGAGTTGGATATGCAATATTACATAAGAAGATATCGTTTTGTTAAATTTCTAATATAGGATTTTAAATAGGATTTACAAATTGCGAATCGTAAAAACTTGAACGATATTTATTCTAATTGAACGGTGACTGTAAATCTAAAACTTTCAACTATTTATCAAACATTATTATAAAGTATATTATATATTAGATATATTGAATTCCTCGTTAGAAAATAACATGTATGTTGGTTTTTTTCACTCACACTCACACTGAAAAAAAATTCATTTGATTCTAATAACGGATTACTTGTCTAATTATCAAACAAATATTTTCTTCAATCAAATAATTTTTATATCTAAATTAATTAACTGGTATTTGCTTCAAATACTCAAATTATTGATTCAAATACAATTTAATTGAGACAAATACTAATAATAACAATTGCGACATAAATTAAAAGTTATTTGATTTAAGTAAATATTTATTTGCTTAAAGACAAGTAAAGGATTATTTGAATGAAATAAATTTTTTTCAGTGCAGAGAAAAATTTTATTTGAAATCAAATATATAATTTGAGTTAAATAAAAGTGTAATTGTCTCAAAGTCTACTAAATTATTTATTTGCTTTAAATAAAAATTGTATTCGACATAAACAAAATTTTTATTTGAACTGAAATCAAATTTACTCCGAAAGAAATAAAAATTGACAGAAATGCGCAAAAATTGCTGACAGTTTAGATTTAACTAAATTTAAATAATAAAAGTTATAGGGGAGAGTCTCCAGTTGTGAGACACCTCCAGTTGTGAGACAGTCAATTTTTTTTAACATGCAATATTAAAAATCCGATTGGTTTATATAAAAACATTTCTTTTTACATGAGCCAACTTTTTCATGTACGCCGAAGCGGATATATAAACTGTTTTTGTTAAATACCAACACTGTGTGTGATAATCGACTAAAAAGCGTTTTTTCAATAAATGCAAAGTACTTTTTTTCCAAGTTAATTAGTTGGAAAAGGTAAATGTAATGCATTTTCTTTTAGTCTTTTCCTTATATTTTGTGATGCAATATTGCATTGTTCCAATCTACGGTTGAAAATAATTTAGTTTTCCTTTTTCAAAATAGCGCCAATTTCTGGGTGTGAGACACAGCATATCACCAGTTGTGAGACGGTGTCAACACCCATCTGGGCAGCATAAAAAATACGACTTTGCAGGCATACTATTTAAATGTTGTTTTGATTTCTTTTTCTAGTATTTTTGGGCATGTCAAGTGGAAAAAAGTCAATTGATTCAGAAGAAATCAATTTTAATGCTCTTGTTGAAGCTATTAAATTGTGTTTATTTGATATTCATATTTTGGCGAATAAATATTATTATTTAGTATATAATAATATATATTATTAATATATTTAATTATTTCTACTAAACATAACGTTTTATGTCAAACTTATTAAATTTTAGCAATTTTTAATGAGTGTCTCACAACTGGAGACTTTTTTTTTTTTTGAAAAAAGCGATGTGCTCGGAAAATGTATCGTAAAATTTTTTGAGTTCATCGAAACACTATACTTTCTTTTAATAAAAGTTGCGTATTTCTGTTACCTTTCGAACGGTGTATTTTATTTACAATTTCGTTTACCTGTTTACAATTTACGGGTCAAAAATGAAACCCGTCTCACAACTGGAGACTCTCCCCTACTATAAATTTTTTCCGCATAGTGAATAACACAAAAAACAACTTTTCTTGAAAAATTCTAAACAAGTAAAAAAATTAACAACAATGATGTAACATACCACAAAAGTAAATAAATTTATTACTACTCTTCGTAAAGAATGTGCTTGTTATAAAAAAATACTTCTGATGAAAGAAATGTTTAATTAAAATTCACCGTATATGTATATGTAAGTTAAAACAATAAAGCGTAATTTATATATTCTTAAAAAAAATCCAACCTATTTAATCAAGCAATATTTAACGTTTTTACAACTTTTAATTGCACTTATTATATTGCCGTATAAGCAAAAACTTTTTAGATTACAACTTTTCTTTTATTATATGTTTCTAAAGGTCCATATTGCTAATCCAACTTCAAATTAGTTTCACGAATTATGAGCTTTTTGACAGATTGTTTAATTAGTTTTCCTTTAATTATAAAAATATACCATTAAAACTATGTAATGTAAATTAGCTCAATGTGAAAAAAATTTCCTATATGAATTCCGTAATGTTTTGTGAAAAAAGAAAAGTAAAAATATTTTAGAAATTTAAAGAAGTAATAAAAAGAGAATTTAATTATTAAATTACTATTTGACTTTTAAATTAGTATTTATTATAAATTTATAATCATTATTAATTTAGAATTGGATTATTAAAAAAATGTTAATAATACATGTGCCGAAATTTAATCTAATTCTTTACGAGGTCAACTTTTAATTTTAATTAATTAATTAATTATTAACCTCGAGAGGAAAGAAATTTCTATCTCTATTCAATAAAATTCAATCCACTTTATTTCACATTCAATTCAATATTAAATGCATTTTTCCGAAGCTCATCCAATATTGAAAGAAACCAAACCAAGCAAAAGAAAGAAACGTACAAAATCGTATCAGATGACACGAAAACGTATTAAATGACAAGAAATAAAGTAGCATACAAGACATACATATAAAATTGTATATCTAGTGTGTGACATAAATACATAATTTTTAAATTTTAAAAGCCCTGTAATCTATAAGAAAAAATGGAGAAAAAAATTCTTTTAATAAACCCATATGTGTCAGTAAATTGCTCAATGAGCAAACAGTATTAATTTCCAGTTCCATTTGAAAAATTTTTAATATATTCCAGTATTTCACAGTAACGTAATATTTTCATTTCAATGTTACATTTTTAACTCCTGTACAAAACATACATTAATTATTTCATTTGTATTCTGTATATATATATAAAGTGGACCACAATATTGTTATCTGTTTATACAGATCGAGAGTGGAAATATTCAATGAACTAACTATTATTCAATTATTCTAAACCTGTATTATAATCAAGTATATACAGTTTTATAAGTGTACGGTCCAAATGCTTGTCGATTAATGATTTACTAAACTGAAATCAATATTGCAAAATGAATAAATTGTTCGCCACTACTTAAATCAAAAAGTGATGCATTTTAATTAGCCACAATCTGATTAGAAAATTGTATCTTGTTTTTTAATCGCACACGGCTGTTTTGACATTTATTAATTTTCGTTTTCTTGTCTCCTTTACACCCTATCAAATAATCTACTATTCAATCACTATTAACAAATATATTATTATAATAATATATTATTTTAAATATGAATACAATAATATTAACAGTTTTTAAAGGGAGAAAATAAAATTCTTTGAAATACAAAATTTATTTTAATAAAATTTGAGAAAGTTTCCTGTTTTCAATTTTTTAAAATTATTTTCGGGAATTAAACTATTTTCAAAAAATTTTAATTACGATTTTTTAAAAACCTCATTTTTTCAGAATTTCTAAATAAAATTTTTCAAATTTCATTAAATATTTGAATACTTATTGTTATTATTTGTCCACTAGGAATTAAAATTTCAAAATATTTCCAATGTAAAACCATTTGAAAGATTTTCAACAATTTAATATTTTTTTAATACTTTGGATAACATTTCCCTATATTTTACTTATTTCTCTGACCTATGAAAATTCTCTTATTGTCAAAATAAGTTGCGTTTACAATTTTCATAAATAAATGAACTTCAAACGGTTTCAATTTAAAATTTTATGAAATTTCAATGTTGAATGAATTTAATTAGAATTTTTAATGAACTTAGATTTTTGAAAAATTTTAATAATTCAAAATCTTCTAAAATTATAGTTAAAAATTAAATTTTAAATTAAAAATAATGGATTTATAGAAGAATTTTAGTTAAAAACACTAAAAAAAAATTGAATTTTGAAGAAGTTACAAATGATTGCAGAAATTCAATTATTTTCAAAAGTAATAAAATTTTATTCTTATCACAAAATTCAATTATGTTCAAAATTTACAAAAAAATCTCGACGAAATCCCAATTATAATCTTTATAAATAAAAAAATTTCTCTTCAAAATTCAATTATTTCTAAAACTTTTAATAAAATTATTGTC